CCCCCCCCTCGGCAATCGATCATTATTACAATGATAAGCTAGTCTTGAGGTAGATTTACCTAATTAATTGTGCGCTGGTCTATGGAATCAAAAGTTGTCATATGCTAACACAACTTTTTGGTAAACAATCAAGATGACACAGGCGTGCATTAGAACGAATGGGTCTTTTTTTTACACAGCTTATAATATGCAGGCATTTCAGGCACTACTTGTGACTTCTCTTTGCACATTACTTGCTCTGTGCCTGTAATTATCTACACAAAACCTCATGTTTGCTATGCGAACACTCGGATTCAACGAAATTTTAGGTCTGGCCCGGCGACCTCGTTGAATCCGAGTTCCACTGTACTGCTACCCGAGAAAAAGATCAACTTCATCGATGATCAACTCATATGAGTTCAAAACAAGCGGAGTCAACTGTATAAACATCCCGTTATCTCTGACTCTGAGGCACCAGAATGACTACATCACTGGGTTCTATAAACAATGAAGAGGAAAGGAGCCAGGTTATTATGCCAAGTTTTGGACATGTAAAGGTAATTTCTTTATCAAGAAGCCTGCAAATGCGCTACACCCTCTTTGACACAATTTTGATCACATATGAAGCGTGCTGCTTCAACACATCAAATCAAAGTTAATATGGACAGTGTGAAATATATCCCAGTAGAAAGAAGGAGATACTCTTTAAAAACATCTTCCTCGAAAGGGTTTCAAGCTCACACCTTTTGCCTTTACAGTTCAGATCCTAACTATTTCATCCCAGGCTTTGGTTTCTTCTTTCTATGCCTATTAAAAATATATGAAAATAATGAACTCTTGCAATCTAAATATAAATGAAATTGAGAGACAAATAAATAACATGAGCTTTCAATGATGCATGCCTTCCCAGTCAGAACCCCCTCTTCACCCTCTTTTGTTTTGAAACAAATAATCTATTTGAAAGAAAAGTTGAAACGCAATATTCGAAAGTTTCGATGAATGACAATAAATGGATCCATGGACTGCATATATAGATCTATATAAATAAGTTGGGTTTTTTTTCTAAAGTATATTCAGACATACGACTTACCACACTATCTGAAGTTTCTGGAATGTTTACAAGTTTCACAAGTACTTCAACACCTTGTGTCTGAGGAAAAAAAGATTTACATATCTGCAAGGTTTTCCAATTCAGCTTACACCTCACTGTTTCTAAGCAGTTTTATTATTCACTATTGTCGGATAAATTTTTCTTGTAAAGGTAAATCACTCATGCTAAATCTTTCTGCAACTCTTCTACACAGGACAAAAAAAATGTTACACACACTGTATGTTGGGGGCTCCGGTGACAGAGTGAATAGCTTTTTCACACTAAAACTAACAACTTAAGTCAAGCAAGTGTTGGTGATACGGGGTTCAGACAGATGGTCACTGGGTTTTTTTAACTTGAGCAAGACACGATCCCTAGCTATAAATAAAATGCATGTAAGTATCTATATATATATTTATGTATCATATACAAGTATGTATAATACACGTTATGCCACTGTAAACCAAATTTCTACACAGGGATCAATACAAGAGGAATCTAATAATAAATTTATCATTTCATCTATATAAAAATGGACTTGGTAGGCTTTGTGCACAAACTCCTACCTTATTACCTAACCCACACCTTTGAAACTTTGCAGGCCCCCACAGCATCCATGTGGCTAGGACCTAACTTTAAAAAATCCACGCACACTGCTTTCCCCGATTTTTCCAAAATGCTTTGTTTCGTCCACACAGAGTTCTAGGCCTAGGCTCACTTACGATCAACAATTTCGCAGTCTCATTTTAAAAAAACCTGAAGTGAGGTTTCCGTTCACTAGCAGTGCGCATTGGTTCCACACGTTTGAAATTCTGGAGTGCACAACCACAAAAGTGGAATAGAGAATCAATCTATACATCTATTATATATTTGGCAACTTGCAAACACATGAAAGTGTCACTTTTCTCTCAAGATTTATTGCTCCATTCCAGTAGAGTGTAGTAGGCCAATGACTTTCAGTTGATGTTAATGCATCGATCATTCCTTTCATCGAAAGGGGACCCAACTAGTTATTATAAATATGCAAGCCATTTAGTATTTAGCTTGAACTTTTCCTGAAAAAGATGTTTTATAATAGAAATTAAATCTTTTTCTTTCATAAAGTCAGAATGATTTGGGCATGAAGAAAAATTGAACAGGAGCCATTTATTTGTCCCAAGAACTATTGTCATTGTGAGCACACAAAAAAAGTCATCATGTACTGCATACAAGATATGAGTGACAGCAGTATTAATAACAGTGCCAATATTTACTTACCATAACAATAATATCAATATTTACTTACCATAACATAATTCTTTGGAAAATGTGAGCCATCGCTGTGAAAAACTTGTGTGATACTACTTTTACCCACTGTCGCATCACCTGGGAAAAGATAAAATTACCAAAACCTTAGGACTGTTGAGTAGAAAATAAAACAAAGTTTATAAAACTAAAACTGGCATGCAATAAGTTCAGGTTTTTTTAAAGTTGTGTATATGTACAGAATGCTTTGTACTGGCTCTCAACTGTATCATCATCATCATTGCCTTTCTCACCCTGGATCAGGATATAGGCCACGAACAAACACTTTCCACCTTTCCCTCCTGGGCTAGTCGCTTGATGTCACTCCATGTCTTCCCACTTTGCTGTACATCCATGTCCGTGACTCTTCTCCGGGTTCCACGTGGTCATCCCCTTGATCTTTTACCCTGTGGGTTCCAATCTAACACTTTCCTTGTTATGCAGCTGCTTAAATTCCTGAATGTGTTCCAATCCATCGCCAATGTCTTCTTCCCACCTCATCTCTGACTGAGCTCTGTCTTGTTCTTTTTAATAATTCCTCGTTGGTAATCCTGTCTGTCCATTTGATCCTCAGGAGCTTCCTCAGACACTTGTTTAAGAAAACCTGGATCCTCTTTATGCACGTCAGGGATGCGTTCCACGTCTCAAATCCATACAACAAGACTGACTTCACATTTGAGTTGAAAATTCTAAGCTTTGTTCGTAATGAGATATCCCTGGTCCTGTAAATCCTGTTCAAAGAAATAAATGCAGTCTATGCTTTTCCAATTCGGGACTTTATTTCAGCGCCTGTTCCTCCCTCTCTGTCAATTATATTCCCAAGATAGCAGAAGGATTCGACGTCTTCTAGTGCATTTCCTTGTACTATGACCTGCTCCTTTCGTAGTGTATCTATCCTTAGGACTTTCGACTTTCCGGGGTGGATCCTCAATCCAACAGACTCTGATAGGCAGTTTAAAATTGTTGTCTTTGCTTGCATCTGTTCCTGAGTGTGTGACAGAAGCGCCAAGTCATTTGCAAAGTCCGGATCATCCAACTGTGTCCATGGGGGTCCACTGTATACCATTTCTGTGTCCTCTGGTGGTTTCCTTCATCAGCCAGTCAATTGCCAAGATAAAGAGGAAAGGTGAAGGTAAACATTTCTATCTCACTCCGGTCTTGATGTCAAAGCTGTCAGTGAGCTGGCCATCATGTATAACCCAGCAACTGTCCCTTTGTACATGCTCCCGTTGAGGTTAACCAACTTCTGTGGGATTCCATGATGTCTCAGTATCTTCCACAGTGTTGCTCGGTCTATGCTGTCGAAGGCCTTCTCATAGTCAAGAAAGTTGACGATCAACTGGGACTGTTCCACTATGAACCTCAGTTTAGAAATCTGGTACGTTGTTGACCGATTTTTCCAAAAACCAGCCTGTTCATCCCAAAGTCTTGGATCCGTTGCAAACTTGATTCTCTCCAGAATTATTCTGTTGAAGACCTTTCCTGGTATTGAGAGAAGAGTGATTTCTCGGTAGTTTTTGCAGTTGCTGAGATCCCCTTTTTACTATTAGGTAGTTTCACAAGGTGTCCTTTGGGAACTTGCTCTCATTCCACTCAACTGTATAGTCACACTTGATCAAAATAGAGTGGAATTTTTCCCAAAGGCAGAAAGTCAAAGTTTGTCAAAAGTAAGTAAAAGGAAGGCTTTACTGTGTTTCGAGTCTGTACTATAACTTTAATTTCAACCCACGTCCTGCGGGGGCCGGGTTTATGTCTCCCGATAAGACTATTTCGGCAACTCGCCTGCGTTCTGATCCCGCGTCGGTCTGGCCCCTGGCTCAGCGCACACGCGCCGAGCATTATCTCACGTTCAATTCGGGTCCCGCGTCGGATCCCCATTCACGCTGATCAAGTGTGTGTGCGTCAGTCTGCTTGAGTTTGTGGCCTTCTTCTAGAACCGCCTGCATTGGTTCGTAAACGAGGCATACGTCTTATTCAAAACATGCCAAGTTGGTAGCTCTAGCAGATGTTCGTCCAATGAAATTATAGAAAAAATTGACCCACTTATACATGAGGTGCTCGAAAAGATAGTCAGGAAACAAGACTTCTATTTTTCTATACAAAATCTTTCAAATGAGCTTGATTTAGTATGAATGATACTCCCTGATAAAAAATAAGCTTGTTTGATAATTTTGAAGATAATTTTGATAATTTTGCAGGTACAAAGAACAATTTGAGTGCAGAACATTCGGAAATTGACTCATATTATCCCCTTTCGAACCCCAGGTCATTCATAACAACAAGAGCATCTAGAGAGGTTATTCCTTGGGCGTAACTATTCGTAATGTCTTTTATCAGCTCGTAAGAGGGAGTTATTCATGTTTGTAACATAGAAAGCTATGAAAGTGAAAGATAGAGCGTTATTTTCATCACTGATTAACACACTCCCACGGTATTCATGGCGAAAACACACGTTTCTCAGCGCACGCACTGCACACTGAGTGACTCCGGTGGCCTGCCCGGAACGTCCGACGTAATCGGTAGCTGATAAGATTCGCATCTCGCATCACAGACACAGGACAAGAGTTAAGGGCGATTTTGTAGTTTCGTTCGTTAAAGTCAAGAGTAGGGGGGGTTCAGAGGGGCGCCCCCCTGAAACCTAAAAAAAATATGGAGGCGGGGGGGGGGGTGTATTTTACCATAATTTGATGTTTTGCAGTTAGGTTGCATCCCTGTTCTTTGTGTTCCCTTTTTGGTCATCAAGACTTTTATGGATTTTTTCTCTGGATGTAGACAAATGGATCATGGACTTTAACGAACAGAACTACAACATCACCGAGTTAAGTTCTTAGTCCCATAAACTAACCACTCGAAACTAATCCTAATCCATCATAACGACTAAATTAAAATACATGATGCCCTATATGTTCTGTCACATTCTCAACAAATTAGCTACTGTACACCTCTGTAAATGATAATTTCTAACAAGTAGACGGACAAAATATGAAGAGTAGCACCATGCGAGCCTCTCTTAAATTCATATAGATCTAGATCTAGATCTATATATACAAAAGTCAAGACGGTGTGGCAAGACTTCAAGAGGCCTCTAGATCTAGATCATATAGATTCTATATCTAGATCTAGAGACTAGAGACTAGAGACAAATGTCATGTGTGTCCTGTTCCAGTCTATTTTCATACCACTTCCAATACTCGAAAGGTACAGTGTTGATCTTATTTGTTATTAATGCTTTCAAAAAGGGAACTAGATCTAGATACTACCAAGAGCATATGAAGTAAACTTACCAACAATGATACATTTACAACGAAGGATTGTCGGCATTTTGACGTTTCAAGTCACATCGAGAACCACAAAACTATGCGTATGTTGTCAAGTCAAACAACCCGAGATTATCGCCCTTTAGAAAGCAATTTCTAACACTGCAGTTAATACATAGTCGCTCTGTGATAGGCCAATCGATTTTATTTACGTCGCCATTTTTGTTGTTATCTGGGGCTGGTACTGCAGGTTGATGCGGAGGACAGGGAGAGAAGGTACGGCAGCTTTTTAATAAGTGCTACTGTGTAACAAAAGGTTTATGACGAACCCTGCTTTGGGGAGAGTGTAGAAAAAGGTGTAAACATGAAACCAATTAAAAAGATTAGTCTTTTTCTGTAGTATGTAGATCTAGTAAGTTCACACTCTGACTGGTGTTTAGCCATGATGATGATGAACTTCGTTGATTGAGTTTGCAGCAGACGACACGAAAACAAAATCAAAACAACATTGTTTTCTCACAATACTCACATACATTTACATCTAAATGTTTTTCCAGAGCAGACTAAAAGATTGATTGTATGTTGCAATTTATCTGTGCATGTCAAGGGTTTTTTTTAAGGTAGATCTAGATCTAGATCTAGATCTAGAAATCTAGAATCTATATCTATTTTTTACTCAAATAGGGCCAACTCTCTACATCTGACTTCTAGATTAGTCTTTTGCATTCATTTAGAATCTACCTTCTCCTCTGCCTGTGGTCCCAGTCTGGTCAGAAACAGGTGACCTCGCTATCCTTACCTGATCATGATATTTAATTTTGACCTGTGTGCAAGCTAGCATGGAATTGCCGTCTCATTTAGAGTAATATTACCATCGGTCAAAATTTGGACGGAAATGGGTATGTCAACTTTAAAGCTTTATTCTCCTATCTGCCTTGCCAAGGCTGCCCCAGAGGTGAACCGAAACTTGCTACAGGAAGCCCTGTGAAAGATGACCCCAGGAATGTACTGTTTCAGCTTGTTCGCATATTTGAGGCCCTGCCCTGACTGGGTGCGAAAGTGATGCCAGATTTATTTACGTGTTCAGTCATATTTTGGGGGGGCAGGCGCTATTTACAACGCCATGTTCTGAATAGCTCCCATGCTATTTGAAACGCCGCGTTCTGAATAGCTCCCATGCTATTTGAAGCGCCAGTACTAGATCTAGATCTAAATCTAGATTTAGTAGCCATCGTTTCTACTTGATAATATTGTAGTTCTGCCTGAATTGTGGAAGCTTTCTCAGTATCTTGATAAACCTCCAAGGATTTGACTCCTTTTTTATATGACGGTGTCTAATTATTCCAATCAATATTGGGTAGGTCTAGATATAAGTAACTAGATCTAGATTAGATCTAACAATTGTTTTTGACATTGTTTGCACAAAAGTTAACTAGACATAGTCTTGTTCATCTCTCATAATCATAATCATTTGAGTTTGAGCGAGTAAGTCGAAAGACGCTTGGATAACAACAACAGGGACGGTGCAACTCGGTATAAGCAGTATTTCCTGTCCGCAGTGTCGTCATACAATAGATCACCTAAAAATGTTATCTTTAACTGTAAGTTAGGACTATATGTTTATACGTTCTCTAAGTAGTCTAAGTCTAATGTTCAGTGCTTCTAAGCGTGGCATCGAATCCCGGTCCCAGAAGGGGTTTTTTTCTTCTCCTGAGCCTAAAATTAAAAAAAAAATAATAGTTGGACTCACAGACCAAGGAAAGCCAAAACCAAGGACTCCGCCTCGCTCTGGGGGCTTTCCGCACTTCCCCGGTGGAGAGCCTCCAGGCCGAGGCAAACATACCACCACTCTCACTCAGACGCACACAACTCTCACTACAATACGCAATTAAACAGAGCTCAACACCAGAAAATTCAGCGCACAACTGCATTTTTTCAAACAAACCCAGAAACCATAACAAATTTCAAAACAACGAAAAACTCATCGAACCCTTCGGCCTCAGAATCCTTGAGGACCTCAACAACTTACACTTTTCCAAACAAGACATCCAACAATTTCTTTTCCCCGACCTCCCTCCGTGGCACCTCACCAAGGCAAAAGTAGACTTGCAGCTGACCACGCACAACAAAGAAAGCACAAACACTAAAACTTTTAAAGATGAATACAAAAAACTAATGGATAAATACCCTGGTGCCGAGCTCATCTTCACGGATGGCTCCAAAAAAGACGATAATGTGGGCGCCGCAGCCCTATCTTCCATCAGTACACACCAGAGGAGACTCCATCCTGAAGCCTCCATTTTCTTTGCGGAGGCCACTGCCATTGACCAAGCACTGGACTCTGAAGAAAATTCTCCTAACAAATCTTTCCTTATCCTTTTTGACTCTTTGTCTTGCATCACCTCACTCACAAACTACACACTCCTACACCCAAAAATAGTTAGGCTACAACAAAAAATTCACACCCTATCTGAAACAGGAACAAATATCATGTTCGCATGGATACCTAGCCATGTGGGCATCCGAGGAAACGAGCAGGTAGACAACCTGGCGAAGAAATCCTCATCCCTTCTGTTGGGATCAACGACAAACACTCTCCCACAGACTGACTTTAATAATAAAGTCAAAAAGTACACCTCCAGTCTGTGGGAGAGCCACTGGTCAAAACAGGAAAATAACAAACTGTATAACATACAACCCAAACTGGAACAGTGAAATCCTTCGGACCTCTCCAGAAGAGACTAAGTCATTTTTACTCGATTGCGCATCGGACACACGGCCCTGACCTACAAATACCTCCTACAGGGAGATGAGAAGCCGTTCTGTGTCGGATGCGACACAGATTTTACCTTCAGACACATCTTAACCAAATGTCTAGACTTTGGAGAGATCCGACGGAAATACTTCAAGTGCAAGAAATTGCAAATTGCAAGACATTTTTTTCCGTCGTTGGTGCCAACTTACTTTACTTTACTTTACTTTTCCGACCCAGCGGCCATTTGGGTTCTAGCCCTTCGGTCTGTCGATATGGCAAAGAATTGACAGGTTTTAATCAGCTGTGCTTTGTCGTTGTATAGAGTGTTTCCGATGTCTGGGGAGGCAGGTAGGTAGGTGCTACGCAGGTCACAAAGTGCTGGGCAGTTAAAGAGGTGGTGTGGTACTGTTTTATCCTGGCAGTCGCACAACAGGCAGTCGGGTGGGGTATCCTTGTGGATCCTATTAAGGTAGGAGTTTAGTGGTATGTGTTGTGTTTGCAGGCGAAATATCGTGACTTGTTCTCTTCTACTCAGGGAATTTATTGCATCTTTAGAGTTGGGCCAACAGAATCTTGGATTTTATGAAGGCCATTGGCCTTTATGGCAAATTATAAAATGAAACAATATAGGGGCCTAGTTACAAATTTTATTGTTATTTATAAGAGTTGTTTTAAATTGAAAATATATATATATTTACACCGCATTTTAATATTTTAGCATTTTTAAGTCTAATAGTTGACCAACTGTGCAGTGAACTGTTGCGAATGCAACCAACTTGTGTTTCGCACGCTCATATGACCTTATGCAGTTGCGAGCGCCGTAAAACCCTAAACTAAACTAAAACTAAAGGAAAGCCACAATAGAAATTTAACCAGGCCTAAATTGGTACAAGGAAAAGTATAGGATATACTATAACTAAGGCCTAGGGCCTACTTTGTACAGAGCTTCTACTGGGGACAAAACCAGAATGTGCATGCTTCATCACTTCATAAAAAAACTAGATTATAGATTCTAATTCTAAAGAGGACAAAAAAACAAAAACTTCTATGACCTGGATCAAACCCAGGCTCATAAAATAATGGTTTGGCTTCGGCCATCAGAACTTCCAACGATAGGTAGATTAAGCTTCATATATAACACATAGCGTTTTTGTTTAGCACTGGCGCTAATCGCAATTCGGCGTTTTATTTAGCACTAGCACTAATCGCAATGCTTCCTTTTTTTGTGTTTTCTCATGGATTTGGGCAGTATTTTGACATTCAGTCATTTTCAGTTATTATCACATTTGTTTCTTTGCAAGCTTAATAACATGATTCTCAATGCTTGTTATCAACACTTGGACACAATGATAGTGTATCTAAAGTGGTTTTCACCATTTATAGCTATTTTAATGAGTATGTATCTGACCCACTCTACTACAATGGTATCTGACTCTACTACACTGGTATGTGGCTCTCTCAACTACACTGGTATCTGACTCTACTACACTGGTATCTGACTGTATTACACACTGGTATCTGACTTACTACACTGGTGTCTGACTCAGCTATAGGCTGTATCTGACTCTCAGTGCCTTTCACCCTTGGCAGGGTATAGGCCACATACAAGCTCCTTCCATTTATCTCTGTCCTAGGCCATCCTTCCTAGCTCGTTCCAAGTGAGCTTCATCTCTCTCATGTCCCTTTCCACACATCTCCTCCATGTTTCTTGTTGCCTACCCCTGCCTCATGCTCCCTGTGGGTTCCTTTGCAGTGACTGTCTTGTGATGTTTCCGCTGGGCTTTCTGAAGGTATGTCCCATCCAACACCACTTTCTTTGTCCTATTTCTACTTCTATATCTTTTTGTCCTGTCCTTTCCCATAGCTCTTCATTTCTTATTCTATCCTGCCACTTAATTCTTAGGATACTCCTCATACATCTGTTGATGAAAGTCTGGACTTTATTCAGCACTGTCTTTGTTGTCTTCCAAGTTTCGCAGCTGTAGAGGAGCGCTGACTTGACATTGGAATTAAAGAGTCAAATCTTGGTGCTCAGTGAGATGTTGCTTGCTTTCCAGACTTTTGATAATTACTTGAATGCTGACCTTGCCTTGGCGGTTCTTGCTTTTACATCTGCCTCAGTTTCACCTTTACCATCGATGACACTTTCAAGATTGGTAAAGAAGTCCATTTCTTCTAGGGGATTGTCTTGCACTGTCACAACAGGGCTTGACTCTTTTCTTAGCTTCACTACTTTCGACTTGCTCGGGTGTATACATAGGCCAACACTCCTCGATAGACTGTTGAGTTCCTTGGTCTTTTCTTGCATCTAAGCATGTGTGTGAGAGAGCAGTGCAAGGTCATCGACGAAATCCAAGTCATCCAGCTGCTGCCAAGGGATCCACAGTATTCCATTGCGCTTGGCTCTGGTGGCTTCCTTCATGATCAAGTCAATTGCCAGTATGAAGAGAAAAGGTGAAAGCAAGCATCTTTGTCCCACTCCTGTCTGTACCTGGAATGGTTCTGAGAGTTGTCCTTCGTGGAAGACTTGGCTGTTTCCTCCATCATAGGTGGTCTTCACAAGCTTGACGATGTTGTCCCCCACCCTGAGGTGCGTTCCTGCATCTGCTTGCGCACGTCACACATTCACTCCATCTATCACAGCATTGTGACTTCTCCATCCTCGCATCGGAGAAGTGAGAGGCATGATAGGCCTAGCTCTGGACTAGACTGGCCTATCACTATCAGGCAATGCATTCTGCTTCACAACCGCTCGTGTGCGCATGCCACTCCCTCCCCACTCATTCGCTCAGGCCTTCATTGTTGGCTCACATGGGCTCTCCTATTCTTTGTTTCACTTGATCACCAACAAGTTTCTCAACTGGCGAGGTTTTCATCAGGTATAAATGGATATGCCCGTGCACAGCAGCAGCAATATTCCGCTATAACCGACTAGTGCGTTTATCTGATTGCGCTACAGCAGTATTTTATTTACAAAGATAAAGAAGGAAAAAAAAACGGGGTTTTAGAATAATGTCTTTATAACAGACTTCTCATTACTTCAGGACTCGTTATAGGTGGACTCCACTGTAATACTAATTGTGGCCTTATGATGAACTGAGATTGAAAACAAGAAAACATTAATTTTTAAAAGTGGAAATAATGATCGTTTCTCAACATATGTGTTAGACGGGGAGACTTCATGAAATCTTTCTGAAGAGATCAAGTAGATTTTAGCTATAAAAATGTCTCTTGAAAATTATAATTTGCCACAGGTTGAAAATCTTGTGTTAGTAGCGTGCAATTTTTAGATTTGGTGTGATTATTTCTAGGGGATCATAAAGCAATACCACACACCTCACGTCGGCATTGTTCTTTGCATCAGCCCCATGTATCATACATCAATACTCGCTGGAGAAATTGAGGCATTCACTAAAGAAACATTTTTTCCAATATCTTCAGCGACAGCCGAGATGTTATCGAAGAAAGAGTATTGGTTGGTAGCAAGACCGAAACCCACCGAATGACACTGTAATTTTCCGACTCTCCGTATTTGGAAAGTGCAGAACCATCCTAAATATTAACCAAATGTCCCCTAATTCGGCAACCAATGAGAAGAAAGATGGATCTAGCCTCAGCAGATTTCTGTGTTTTACTGTCCCTGCAGAATTATGCAAATTTAGATAGCCAAATTATGCAAGACAAATGAAAAATTATGCAAGTTACCGTAACGCCATTCACGACATGTTTTGCGCTTTTTCAACAAGAATTTTCATGTTTTAGATAGATATCAGAAGAATTGAAAACAAAACATATCAGTATCTGTAGTTTTTTTGTTTATTTGGAAAGATACACACCAGTCAGAAATAACAACAACCAAAAAATATAATCTCTAACTGTAACTTTCAGCTGTATAGAGTAAAGAAACATTATTTTTACAAATTAAAAAGACTCCAAAAAAAACCGATTTTGACCTCTGATGCTGGCACATCACTAAAACCAGGACACCTGTCAAACATGAATCATCAGCAGACATGAAAATAACTTTTACTTTTGATGGATGGAAAAATTGAACATGCTCAAGGAACAAAAATCCCTAACAAGGGAAATACCCACCTTGTCACTTAAATGAGACTTATTACTCTGATTACTTCCCTTTAGTCACATAGCAAGGTGTTTACAATGTTGTTAGATTGTTTTGTGAAAAATGCAAAAAGAACGTGAAAAACACGGGGAATCCAAAATTATGCAAATGTTGCAGAATTATGCGAAAAAACGCAGCCGCGACGCGGCTGCACAATCGCATAATACGACGGGGACAGGTTTTAATTAACATAAAAACAATAAAGCTACAAGTCGTTTCTTTGAGGAGATTGTTTTCGAAAATGTGTGGTCGATTTGTCCGCGGAATGCTCCTGTATCATCTCAGACAGGCTGAACTTTATAATATTAGAAACTGTTTTGTGAAATTATCCTTCAAACAATCGCATTTTGAAAAAAATAACATCGATGTCGTTTCTGTTTTTCGTGTGCCCGGAAAGCAAGTAAGGGAAACACAGCCGCGAGACGTGTAAGCTTGCCACCATCTCCCTGTAACGTCACGGCTGCGTTAAAGCATAGCCACTGATTGGACAGTTATTTTGATCGGCCTGAATACCACGGTAAACACCATACTCATAAACACGGCCGTAATGAAGGTTTCTTTCTATTTGCCATCACAATTAATTGGGCTTAATTTCGTTTTTTGTGAATTAAGTGCTTACATGGACTTCAAGATAACTGCCTATTACATTGTTCCAGTATTTACAATGAGCAGAAGCAGAATTGTGTGTAAGATGGCCACCTATTGTCAAGGAGAAATGTGGCCGTATAACACAGGTGGCCGTCTTAGGCAGGACTGATCAAGATGAAGAAAACAAAGCATTCCCTTCTGAGGTCCCAACCGAAAGTAGCTGCATTATTGTTGTTGTTGTTTTGTATTTTGTTTGTTATTTTTATTTTGTTGCTGATTTTGCACTAGGATGATAATAAAGCGAAATGTACCAGACGAGGAAGACCGAGTGCCATGTTGAATCAAATACATGAGTCGCCACCACTCAGAGAACGAGCGACGCTTCTGTCGCAAGTTCATGTTGACATCCATTGTTACTTTGTTACAGACTGGGTAAACAGTGACCACTCATTTCACTTACGATTTGTGTATGAGTTCTGGGCGGGGCCTATGGGTATTGAGGGATCGCACGCTTACCTTACCAGAAGCTGAAAATGTGTTACCTATTGGTCAACAGTGGGAGGAGTCAACGCAACAAAATCGGTTGGAGGGACTACTTAACAACAATGACAGGTGATTAGATATGACGGCTCGCACAGAACGCCAGGGGCCAATACATAATTTATGACAAAACGTAATGGATTCACGAAGGTGGCTGTCTAAGACAGGTGTTATTGTTTGATGTGATAGGGGTTGTGTATTAAAATATGGTGGCTACTGCTGCATTAGACAGGTGACCGTTTTACACAGTGAAATTTATTATTATATAGAAAAGACTTGGGGGGAAATGGAAAGTGGCCGTTTGTACAGGTGGCCGTCATGGCCAGTTCAACTGTAATTATTTATTTGCATATAATCAACAAGGTATTGAGATTGCAACTTTAATTTTTCCATTTTCTATTTTGTTGTCCTAAAAAACATAATCTCACCAATTTTCAGCTCTTTCCATTCATAAATGTGAAAGTTATGGGTTTTCAATATTCTAGTTCCGTTTGCCCTCTATTTATGGACCGATTTTGAAAAAGTAAAAAGTATTTTTCTACTGGATTAATTATCTTTGTACCTGTGTTGTTTATAGGTTAATTTATTTTATGAAAATTTATTTACAGTTTAAAAATGTAAGTGTTTCGACTTATCAGTGGTTTTCTTGCAAAGACCAAGAAGGGAAAAAATTGGAGATTTTCTTTTCTTTTGGTTTAGTGCTGTTTTTAGTTTAAACATATCAGTTTAAGTGGACTCCACTGCGCAAAAAATGTATCGGTGAGGGACACCCAGAGAGGGGAGAGATATTGAGTACTCATCCCCTTGCCCCTTCAAAACAAAGAATGGTATACACAACATAAATTCTATGATCCTCACGTATGCTGATTATCAGTTATGTTTGAGACATTAGCAATTATGGTTTGTTACAAAATAATGTGCATTTCTGTTTTTCTCTAATCTTGTTTGTATAAGGCTGAGTAGGTGACTCTTTGTGAGTTTTTTTTAAATGTCATGACAATGTTAGTAGTAGTAGTATAGGGTTTTACGGCGCTCGCAACTGCGTAAGGTCATATGAGCGCGCTGACAATGTTAGGTGAGAGTTGATAAAGTGTAAGCTGGTTGTGTCGTTTTGGCAGTTATAACATGTACAAAGTTTTTCACTGTCCTCAGAATGCATGGGTCAGATGTGTCCAGCCATTGAAGCCATACCCTTCTGAGCTCCAGGATGGATTCTGGAGTGCTGGGCTTAGACAGCCCTCCCACCCCAACTTTGGTTCTGGGACCAAATTACTCCATGGATGTGGGCCATGTGAATAGCAAGGGCAGCCCCACTCGCGTTTTAGACTGCAAGCAAAGTTCACAGTCTACAACGTTTGAGACTTCAAACAGATATGTCCAGTCTTTCTTGTGTTATGAAATATTTGCTGCAATAGAGATAGGTTCCCTGACAAGAGTTCGGAATGTGCTTTTGTCATATCCTGATCTTGATTTCAACTTTCATATCAAGGATGTTACCCCTTTATCTCTTAGTTTATACAGAAGAAGGTTTGAAATATTTCAACTGTTTCTGAGGCATCAAGATAAGATGGGCAACTTGAATTTAGATATGATCAGCAAGGATAGTCTTGGGCGTATGGAACCACCAATCATCACAGCGTGCCGACTCCACTTTCTGGAAGGTGTGGTAACATTAGTGACCAAAGGTGCGGACATTGACATGACAGACAATCAAGGTCACACAGCTTTGTGGGTGGCATCACGACAGCAGATGCCGGATTTAGTGGACTACCTTATTAGTAATGGTGCCAGTGTCAGTAAAATGGACAAGTTTGGTTGCACTCCTCTTCTCACAGCCCTCATGTATCGTGTCAGCTCCATGATCATAAGAACCCTAATCATCCACGGAAGTCCATTGACAGCTCCAGTTCAATGGTCGTCTGCAGAACAATCTCCACTTTTCTGGGCAACAAAGAATGGAAATCTTGAAATTGTGAAGCTAATGCTCCAGGCAGGGGTTGGAATTTGGGAGACCCGTGCTGTGAGAATAGCTTTGTCCAATAGTGATGTTGACTCTGAGATTCTCGATCTGCTAGATGCAGAAACACAGTGCCCTCCATCACTTCAGCATCAATGCAAGACTGTTCTTAGGACAACCATAAGGCATGTGGGGCAGGGTAAAAATTTTATCAAAAGCATGCAATGCTTGCCTTTACCGTCCAGTATCATTCAATATCTTCTCCTTTTCAGATGATGGTATGTTGTGCTTTCATGAAAGTGCTCATTTTATAAGATTGCATGTGCTGTCTTTTGGTGTAATTTTGAGAGATATATATATATATATATATATATATATATATATATATATTTGTGTGGAAAGTATGATACTCACTTTATCCATAATATCCATAAAGAATGAAGAAGAGAACAATGTGTGTAAACTTAACTGCTTGTGAACTTGTGCTAGGAAAAGTTTTCACTGTCCTACAGTCATCCAAAGTGATCACCTGTAAGATGCAGCAAAATCTAAAAATTTGTCCTAATTTAGCTGTGCTATCATTCCGTAGTCTTCTAGTGTGTTAAGTTTGGTGGATGATAGTACCACCTGTTTGTTTTATGTTTTTATAAGTGTTTTCTTGTTTTGTTTTTTGTGTGTGACTTATTGGAAGGTAGTGCCTGATGGAACATCTTTGCAGAGTAGAACAGTAACAGGAAACTTGAAAAGTTGGTTGACCAAGGGGAAAATCAGACTGAGAAAAGCAGACAAGTTAAGCAACAAGGAAAGACCGTGATAGTGAAATCAGCCAAAGTCATGTCAAGCCGTATTTTGCTCACTCTACATGATATATTACAGTTACAGTACATGCAATGTTTTGCAGGACAAAATTTTTTGTTTCCTCAGTTTCTGCCTTTTTCTGCTTTCTTTCTTGTTCCGTGTTGTGTCTTCTTTTGTTTATATGCGCCGTACATGGTCAGTTTTACTCTAAAGGGGCTTCGTTTTAGAAGAAAAAATTGTGAAATTTACTAGGTAGGGCCTATATATTTAAGATAGTGCACTTTTTCTATGAAAGTTAAATGACTACTCTAGTAAGACGTTTGTCTTTTTGTTTTTCTTTTTAAAAAAATTTTATCAGGAAAGTTAAGTTGTGGTGTACATAAAAGTTTGTAGATACGTGGAACTGGACATGGTTCTCATCTGATACTTGTAAAGATGTTTCGCCTAAGTTTGGTGCAATATCTTAAACCATGTATCTGTATTGGAAAAAAAATGCAGCTACATGATTTTAGACTTACATGGGCAATCGTTCATGTCATGTGGGCCTCTAAATCATAAAACAAAAAGTGCTTTTGATATGAATAGATTAAAGTTTTTTTTTACTTTTGCAATATTTGAATGTTGTGGTGAACTTATGGTGCTTTGTGTGTGAATTTTTTTTAAAAATTGTTCATTGTTTTGTGGGTTTTATTTCGCAAAGTTGTTAATGTTATTGTTTATTTTCCCTTTAAGACTGATAGTATTGGTGCTTCTGAAATTAGGTGTAATTTGAAATAGCTATTTGATATATATATGTATTATGTTTTTTGTGGTAGATCCTTTAAAATATGACAATGTTGTGTGGAACAGCATCGTCTGTTTCATTTAAAGTAATTCATTTCATTTATCTGATAAATGCTTGCAAGTTTCACGTCATATTATAATTATATTGTCTTTTGATATTTGATGTGGTGAAAGTGGTAGAATCGTTTATTTTGTATGCGTGGAAGTCTTTTGTGTGGTCTTAGAAGTGAGTGTAAAATCATTTCAGTGAGATTATTAACCAACAAGATACTGAATGTTTATATGTATTAGTGGGACTGTTCAGAATCAGAGGTGAATTATGTAACTTTTTGTGAATGAAGATGTATGCAGAACTAAGAGAGTTCGAGCTGTATACCTTGTTTTTGTCCCTTTTGACATGCAAAGATATTGCCTTTACAAAATAGGATGCACCATGTTGTTCCTGCTTCATTTTGAGTTGCAAGGTAAAGTTTTTCTTTTTTAATATATTCTTTGCTTTCACAAATTCATAATTATGTTTGTATTTCACCAATCAGAATCAAAGGGAATATTATGGTTAAAGTGAATTTGAGAGTTTTTCAAGCAACTTGCATGCCCTATTTGCTAGAGGTGTTCTATGTCCAGTTCAAGAAACAAATCCTTCTCCTAACAAAACCGAATAAATTAATTCACACTGTCCTTTCAGACTTTTTCCCCCGAAATATACATGTCTTTGGGATATGGTATTTCAATGCTCAAGTATAGTGAGGTGTGAAAAATTAAAAGGTAACCAGTGCTCCTTTCTTAAAAGTCTTTGTCGATCTCTCTCTCTATATATATATATCTAGTGGCGCTAACCTTTGCATTACTTTTTAAAAGAAACCACCTGCTCTCCCGTTCTCAAAATGAGAGGTGAAATTAGTATTCTTGCAAACATACATACAAAGCCTGGTTTTCGTGATTTTGAACTTCTGAATTTTTAAAATTGTAGATTTTGATTGCTGTGTATAGTCTCCAACTCCACTTTTTAACGATGAGTTCAGCAGAGGTTCGCAGCTGTATGGATAAAAGCAAACATAAATCTTTCAAGTGCACCAGACATATTGCTGATACTTTTTGTCCTTACATACACTTCTTTTAAAGGAATTTAATGTCCAATTTATTTCTTCTGTTGAGACTGAATACATTGCAACGAGGTGTTGTGTTCTTAAGTGATCCAGCCACTTGCAGTTCCAAATGCTTATTGTATACACTGTTCAAAGAAATAAATAGTATAGTGAAAACTCCATTTTGCGAGGGCAGCTTGCAATAGATTTACAAGCACATTGTGCTTAAAAACATTGCTGTCAGTTAATAGTTTTTACTAGACTGATTCAGTTTTGGGAATGGTCTCATGTTTAGAAAATGGACTGCACTTGCAGGTGTTCTAATCTCTTTTATGTTTTTTTCTGCAGCAATTTCTATTTCATAATCATTCATTTTACACATGGTACAGCAGGTGAAGATTAGTCGTTTGTTTTTTTTAAATTTGAAAAGATATTCTGAATTCTAATCTCTGACAGTTGAGATAACAAAAATGTTGCAAAATCAGCACATATTGAGAGTTAGAAGAAACGAAATTATCACTGTGATTTTCAGTATATCACTTTGTTTTGTTCTCATTTTTACCACTCAAAATGACATTCATTTTTTTTTATACCCCATATATGTTTTGACTTTTAAAACATTTTGCAGAGAAATAGAATTGTTTGAATGCCACACTGTTCAGCCTTAATGGACAAACAACCCACAGTTTTTGCACCCCCCGAATCGAGAAATGTTTTAGTACATTTCTTTCTTTAAGGGTTGTTTCATTTATTAAGTCAGATAAGAAAATGTGAAAGTTACTTGTACAGTCACAAGGTGCTGCTAACCTTTATTTGACATAGCCTATCCAAACATGTGGACGGACATGCTTATTAAACTTGGGGACCCCCCCCCCCCCCCCCCTGGCAGTGCCAGTGACAGAAGTGTCTTTAGGCCATTCCCAAAGGGGGGACATTAACTTGTTCTTATGCACAGCAGAATTGTACATGGGCTGATTCAACAAAGTCATGCTCATAACTGTGCCTGAACTGCAACAGGGAACTGCTGCTTTTTCTTTCCTAATCCTTACTATCGTCATTTTTCCTTTACTTCTTTTGTATCTTAGTCACACTCTTGTGACCCGCTATTTTCAGGGTGCCTTGATAGTCGAAGCAGACTTTGTTCTGTTGAAGCTAGAGAGGTGAGCAGAGTAAGTCTGATTCCCTGTAAAGACTTCTATGTTGACATTCACCCCTTGGCGCGCATATGGCCTTATGCAGTTGTGAGCGCCAAAAAACCTCTACTAAAACTAAAGCTAAAAAACTTGGGAATTATCTTATAGTTGCTTGAATTTTGTTTAGTAGCATTAAAAACATGTGTTTAAACTGAAATAATGTGAAAGAGGGTTGTGTTTGCATGTTAAAAAGAACCATATCATGTTTTAGTTCTTGATGTATTCCCTTGGTACCAATGATATATTATATCATTATAATTGCTGTGACTCATTGAATTATGTTGCTTGACTTTCCAAGATTTGCTGTTGTATGCCTGCTGTTTCATTGTTCCTCATGCTAAGAACTGCATTGATCCACGCAGATTTAAAACAGAAAATTAAAATCTATTCACAAAGACTTTTTTAAAATATATACAGCAAAGACAGAGTGCTTTTTGTACTTTAGCTCTCTTTTTTTTTAAACGAAGATGGCACCACAGCCATTAAGAGAAGTTTATGTTAGACCTGCTTGACTTACAGTCAGCCTCCTTGCCAATAAATGCAATTTCAAGACTTGGCCTTTTTTTTTTCTCTCATAATGTTTTTCTTATGGGTGTTGTTTCAGGATTATGTCGCATTTTAATGGGAGTATAAATCTTCTTTGTTGATGTATGGTCATGAGGTGTACCTAATTTGATATTTTCCAGGTAATCAATTGTGTGTAGTGCATGCTCCTTGTATCAAGAACATGATGTATTGCCTTTATTTTCACACCTTGACTCTCGGCACCAACTGTGAACGGAAATCAGACCCAGCTTCAGCTGTGTCATATAATGCTATTTCATTGGGTTTTTTAAAACTTCCCATCTGAACTATCATTAGTTCAGTTCTAATTACTTTGCTGTAGCCTTCCATCAAACAAGTGTTTTCATATGGCCAGTACCACCACTCACTGTGTTTGTCCTGATACCCTGTACTGTGTGCCTTAACCTGGCGGTGTAGTACCCACTTCTTTATGGACAGGGGCTACCAGGTTCTTGTTTGTGAAGGCTCCAGTAATAGAGCTGTCATACACAGGTTGTCCACTGTGGGCACATTGTGTGTGTCATACTTTATCTGTTGTTTTACTATGATTAAAGTGGAAGCAAAAAAAAATTGAAACTAGTAAGTGTTTTTTAAGCTGTGCAAGTGTCTTCTTAAACAGTATTATTAATATGGTAGACAACTTCTTTCAGGAACTCACAACTGTGTGTGGTGATGTGATATATGCTGTATTTGTTATCAGAATTTTTCTTTTAAAGTGAAGTGAACAGTGTTGCTTGATGCAAAAGTATTCTGTCAGAACATGATGAAGATGTCAATGAATTATTTTATATATATATATATATATATATATGTATATATGTGTGTGTTTTAATGGCTTTTTGATTTAGCAACACAGTCTTTGAGCATTGTACATATAATCCTCTTGATTAATCTTACTGTAATGTACAAGTGGTTTTAATTTCTTGTTTTATTTTTTTTTTGCTTTGGCTATTTACTGCCAATTAACTAAAGCAAATGTACTTTTTGTCTTTAGATTTGCATATTAATTATCATTTTTGACATGATCTGGAAATGTGCGTTGAGTTTACCAATTTTTTACACTTTTTAAAAATGGTGACATTCAATATCAGTATGAGAGAATGATGGGAAATATAAATGAAAATAATGTTAAGTGAAATTGTAAGCCAAGCAGAAAATATGAAGTAAAATTTCAAAATGTCCTGAGTTGACTGAAATGAGATCATCCAGTCTCAGAGATGGCTCCGCACATGGGATGCTTACTGTTTTTTAAATTGCAGCATCAAGAGAGAGAGAAGAGTACTAGTCATTTCCGAGAGGCATTAATATGTTTTGTCAAGCATCTAATGGGACATTGCTAAGACAATCTTAGATTGAACAAGTTATCGAGTTTCCTAGAAAAGATTATTTCTTATTGGAGATGTGCCATGAAATTTGATAACATGTATTTGTAAGTTTCTTTGGTTCTGCAGACGTCACATAGCTTTTCATGTTTCATTTAAAAAATCATGAGTAAGTCAAAAGCAGCTGTTCAGCTTTCTATTTTCCAAATATGTTTTTTTCCTTGTTTGTGAATTGCAGAAGTTGGAATTTAGATTTTCTTACTTTTGGTTTATGTCTTTATTAAGACTGCACATCTTTTTCACAGCAGAATACTTTTATTGCCTTTAATTTTGGCCTTCTCAGCCTTCACTTGGCTCTACAGTTGAATCATTTTTATTTTCACACTTTAATAAAAGTGACAATGAATAGTATTTCAAGGCAGAGACAATAGGGCGATAACATATATAACTGCTTTCATTTCATTATCTCACTTTGAACCCTCAAAGATAGGTTTACTTTTCGACTGGGACAATGCAAAGATTTATAATGGTTTCCTTACTCCTGCTTATCTTTCACAATAATTATGACTATGAGAGGGATAATGCCATCGTTGATCAAGGTCATTTAAAAATCTGTTTCGTTTTCTTGATTGTTAACTTATTTTACGACTGTTGGCTAGACACTAGACCAGGACATGGCATTTTGTACATTTTCAACAAATCACTACCTTAGAATTACACAGTTCTATCTTCTCAGTACTGAGTTTCACAATACGTCAAGGTTTTTCTAATGCAGTTCTGTGAAAATTTTGATAACGACTCCGAATAATCTTATAAGGGGGCTCGCGTGGCCTGGAGGTTAAGGTGTTTGCCTCTCATTCAAAGGTCCTGGGTTCGAATCCGGGTAGCGACCGAAAAATGTTTTTCTCTAAAATTGTCTCCTTTCACTTTCTTTCCTTTTCTTTTGCAATATTCTGTTGTCTGTTTTCGTCTCCACTTTCTACCCCCACCCCCTCCACTGGGCTCCTGACTCTTTCTGCAGCCTTTCTACTGCTACTCCTTGACTCCTTCTTACTACTGTCTTTCAGCCACACCCCTGATTTTCTGGAAGAAAGGATCTACACCTAGCCTTCTCGGACAAGGGCAAAAAATCTCTGAGGTCCCGTGTGCAAGTTGCGCACGTTAAAGATCCCTTGGTGGTCCAAAATTTAATAGAGTAGGCTTCGGCCGCCACTCTGGCAAAATTAAAAATTCGTACCAATTGAAAATGTTTGGTGTGTCCCGAGCGCTCATATGACCTTATGTAGATACGAGCGCTGTTAAACACTTACCAAAAAAAAAATCTTACTTACTAGTTTGATAAGGCAGATTGAGCCTTTGGTTTCTGACCTTATTGTCCTAGTAACTCAAAACGGCCAAAAATGTCCTGATAGAGCTTTGTAATTCTGAGGTAGCGAAATACGGTATTTTTGCTCAGGTAGAAGCAGTGGAGTGGACAAATCTTTGTTAAAGACTAAATGAAACCATCTGAATCATCATGAGTTATGTGTGCTGAAGGGTTTAGTTTTAGTAAGGGTTTTATGGCACTTGCAGCACAATATGGTCATATAATTTATATGAGTGCGGAACCGGAAGAATTTATTTGTGAATGGATATATATTGTCAAGGTCATGAAAATGGAATGGATGGACTTTGTGAGCTGAACATGTCATTTCTTCTGTTGTCGCAATCTGATTTTTTAAATGGTCAGTATCTGTGTTGTAAAATAATGTTACAAGTGCTTCATGCATTGTAGTTTTTAGCGGTCAGTATGCCTACTACGCAATATGAAATTGTTTGTGATTTTTATTTGGTTTAATGTATTTGTTTGTCATTTATGGTATCAATTTTTTTTTATAAACTTCAAAACATTTTTGAAAATATATTTGTATTGGTATCATATCCACTGGGCCAAGGATGTATTATTCCTCCGAGCAAATGCTTCAGTAAAGATTTTGAAACTTGAACCTGTCAAAGTGTTGGCCTCTTTTCGTGTTTTCTTTTTGTGCAGCAGCTGTTTCCAGACTCATATATGAGTCATTTATTGGTCTCTTGAGAAGGAAATATCAAGTGGGAAATGTGCTGGTGTCTTTGCCGCCTTTTTAAAAAGACCTCCTCCCCAGTGTTTGATGATCTGCTAAAGTAGATTACATTTCCTCTCTGTCTCACAAGAATTTTCTTTTGTTTTTTATTTTTCAACAGTATGGCATTCTTGTGTGAAGAGGCTGTAGGAACACTACTACTAGCCAGGCATTATTACTATTCGACTCTGAAAAAAGTGGTACGCCAGGGTATGTTACAGTCCACTACGGTTGAGTTGATGTCGTTGGAGGAGTGAAAAAAAACATACACTCATCAAAGTTTTACTTAACTATTGGGATTTATAAAGAAGAAGATGTGCTTGGACCCGGGAAAAAGATTAACTTAACAAAAGATCAACAGAAGCGGGGTCAACTGTAATAGATCTATGTGATGTGGAGAATAGCGAACAGAATAAAAACAAACCATTACTTTCTGTGATACTGACCTCGAAGTTTGATGTGGCAAACAGCTCAAGAAAGGAGATGACTTTTTAAGAGTCGTACTCGTACTTAAGTTCATTCCGGACCTTTTCAACCGCAGGGTTACAACATGTAGACTAGTAATAACTCGCCCGTCTTAACCTGAACTGTCCAAGTCAAAGTCTGAGGAAAACATCATAACTCTTGGTGTACTTCTAAACGGTAGTGAGAATATTCTGGGTAGTCGCCCCTTTAACTTAGCTGCCGGCGCCCACGTGGTTTT